AATACAAAATAAAGAAAAATATCCCTTATGACAAGACCAGTAAGGATGCATATACATGTTAAATTAAAAATTTAGTCTATGTATTATGATTATAACATTATATTCTAATTGGGGTGTTTGAGGGTGTGCGTTAATTACGTTACATGTTGTATAGTTATCGTTAGACTTACAACTTAGCTGTGAACTTTTTTAAAATATCCAAGCCAACCAGAACGGGATAAACAGCCAAATACTTCGAATAAAAAAAAACAAAATTACGCGGCTCTGAATAAGAAAAACAAAGTAACATCGTGGAAGCAGTTGATCGTCAGGGCATGCTCGGTTGCCATGGCAACAGGCTATAAACAAATCCACAAACTTGCTGAAGGTGAAGGAAATTAGTTTCGCTCGATAGAGTGTTGTATCAGAGTTTTATAAAAGTAAATTAATTATACGATACGAAACCATTATTATTCGTTTTGATTTCTCTTTTAGCGTCGACTATATTAAATAATGGTGGTGAAATTAATTGCTGTACTTCTTTCCTAAAGACGTTCTTTAAGTTGTGTGTTTTTATATTTAACATAGAACATAATCGATGCTAAAAAGTCAATAATGAATCGTAACTATAATTAACTGCATCATAATATAGTTCTACCTTTCCTATTCTAACCTAAACTGCTAGAGAACGTCTTCCTTATAAATATTAGACCAGGTAATTTACTACACATTATATTATTACAACGAAAGAACCTCCTCTACCCATATTGCAATCTGACATATTGCTATCTGACAAGCACAACATAACATAACATCACGCCTTTTATCCCAAAAGTGCACATTATGCCACTGTACAATGTAACACCCACTTTTCACTATTTATGTTATGAGTCCCATTTAATAGGGGGTGAGCCTATTGCCATATACCCGGCACGTTTCCAGAGTCCGTGCTACTACTGAGAATTAAAAAAAAAACCAGTAATACTTTACCCGACCCGCGAATCGAACCCGGGACTCTTTGCCCGACAGTCGCACTTGCGACCACTCGGCCAACGAGGCAATCTGGCAAGAAAACTAATAAATATAAGACTTGTTGGTTGGTGCGGTGTCTAAGCAACTGGCTGCCGCGCAACGTGTAGGGAGTTCGATCCCCACACGGAGCAACTCTGTGTGTTCCATAAATTGTTGTTTCATGTATTGTGTCTGTGAATTACTATATTTGTAAACGTAACCACGACACAGGCGAAAATCCCATTGTTTCCACACAACGTTTTTTTTTTTAAATCACAAAAACTGACAAACGCCCAAACAAACTAGTTCATCATTAGAAAAATCAACCCTACATTTGCTGGGGTAAAGCAACAAGCCCATTGTTACCCCAAGTACCATCGAGGTGGAGAGAGACAAGGTTGGTTGTATTTTTAGGTCTCAGAGCTAATTGCCGTACTCGGGAGACTCTGCTTATACACTCAAATGAGTGGCAATGGTTTTGCATGGTTGTTGGAAAGTGGGGTGAAAATCTACCATGAAACATGAATACTTTGTTTTGCCAATTTTTTTTATCTGACATACGGCAAACGAGCCGACGGATCACCTGATGGTAAGCAATCGGCGCCGCCCATGGACACCCGAACACCAAGGAGTTACAAGTATGTTACCGGTCTTTTGGAAATTGGGAATTTGAGGATTGTGGAGGATACGGTATTCAGGAGACTAGGGACCCGGTAATTGGGTCTCCGGTAACCTCACTCACATGATGAAACACGCAAGCGTTGTTTCACGTCGGTTTTCTGTGAGGCCGTGGTATCACTCCGGTCGAGCCGGTCCATTCGTCATCAGTTCTCAGATAATCGAAAAAGGAGGTTTTGTTTTAGACCTGTTTGTATGTTTGTGCGCTATTATCTCGCGATTGGCTATTGACTGAACCAATTTTGATGCGGTTTTCAGAAAAGGGTTTATTACACTTAGGAGAAGGTTTTAGTATATTTATTAACTGATTTCAAAAAGAGGGGTCGGTTGAAGTCGGTTTTTTAACTCGTGGAGTACCGTCATTACAGACACAATTATAGAACAATAGGCTGCGGTCACCGGTGACCGCTTGGTGTTTGACAGTTACGTAATTTGTAACAAAATTATTCATTACTACCTACATCAAAAATACAAACCATATTCTTATTACATTTCCACATTAACCCCGCACTAATATATTACTAAACCAGCACCTAAAGATTTCTCCATCCAATCCCTAGCTAAAACACTTCCATTTCTACATAACAAATTAATGAAACAACGCTGAGAACGCCAACACAGAGGAAAAGGATACATTACTAATTGCTAAAAACACTAATGGCTACAAGGAAACTAACTCACTGGATGCGCCAAATGAATTTATTATTATTACCAACGAGAATAAACTTGAAATACACGATTTGCGTTCGTATTTTATTTGTGAGAGAATTGAAATTTGAATGAAGTAAATGTGTGTTGGTTTGGATCGTTAATTCCTTAACGTTTAGATTATTTGTAATAAAATGTTTCATTGTACAAAGGAAAATTTTGTTATTTTTAAGTTATTTTTTATATTATTTTAATGGCTATATGTTGTAACGAACGTATCGAGTCGAATGAACGTTAATATGTTAATTTTTTTGGTTTTAAACAACACTAATTTTTGATCAGATATAAATTTAAAAATTACGTTGATTACGTAATCAATACTGTTTCAAAGCCAAAGTCAAAGCATTTATTGCAATTAAAACTTAATTAGGCACTCTTGAAACGTCATGAATTGAATCGTCCGTCTGTCTCTCTGTCAGTGAAGCTAGGCTACTGCAGTCTTATACTCTGTACCCTTTTATTCTGTCGCGGAGAACATAACGGGTTACCGGGGCTCCAGCTGAACATGTAGGAGTAGGAACGAGGTGGTTTTTGGTCGGTAACAGTCTGACACTCCCTCCCACCTCACCCAGGCGGGAGCAGCCATTCAATGATTTTCCCCCCTTAAAAATCCCTTTCATTTTATCTGTAATAACTTAGAAGAAGCCTAAGAGCGTTTACTAACCATTTCAGGCACACAGGCAGTTTAAACTTACAATATATTTTTTCCGTATTTATTATTATTGCCTAGCATTACAAAACCGCTACAGTAATCCCAAAAATGTAATACAGGTAAACCTAATGCTTAAAGGTTCACATTTTATTAGTTTTACAACTAGTATTGCCTTGTACTACCAAAGACATAAAACTTTTATCGCGATCCGCCTTCAATTTGGCCCGTATTGTGCGCAATATTAGTTGGTACCATCTAGAAAGCTGATAATATCTATGTAAAACATTACAACGATTTGTTGAACGAACAAACTTAGGAACAATGAATTGTATTGTAATAATACTTTACTGTTTATTGTTGAAGCGCTCATCGCTTTAGAAATGAGGTTTACATTTCTCATACAATAATTATTACGAGACATTCTAAAATGATTGAAATACACTAAATCAATTGAACTATCAAAACAGCTCTACTAGTTTCAAGTTATATCGGGACGCATATTCATGAGCAACGTGTTCGTCGCAGTTTTGTTGCACAGCCAGAAGATAGTTGGTTATATTACAGAACTACTGTTTATTCAACTAGTATTCACTACATATATAGAGGTACTATTATTCAACCCTCCTATTCTTTAAACCTACATAAATATTATTATTAGTAGGAACATGGTCTTCGCTTTAATCGAGAATATTAATTCCTTTCAACTCAATTACATGACCAAGTTTAAAGAAAGTAATTGTTAGTCTCAAAACTGCAATTCTAAAATAGTAGCGACATGAGAACTAAATCGGTCTCCAAGACCTTCATGGCATATTTAGCAAGCACGCCATTTGAAGGGTCAAGGTTCGCTCTTGTTTACCTACTTTACTTAATACCCCTTTTGCGGGCGTTTACTGTCAAATCTTCGACAGCCATATTGTTTGAGGGTTGGAAATTTGGACATCATTAAATCAATGTCATCTGTGATTGTTTAATGTTAGTAATCTTCAACTAATATTATGAGCGCTTTATATTCAAATTTTATCCGGTTTACTACAATTACTGTTGAGTGTTGAAATCAGTTATAGTTGCCAGTAATTTTAATTGATTTTCTAGCGTTGTGACTGTTTAAAAATAATAATAAGTAGTTGTTTAAATCATGTCTAATAGTCGCCACAATCTTCAAGTTTTGTTTAATACATTGCAATAAAATATATTTAAGATATCCTTGTACTACCTAAATAT